CCAGTGGATCTGCTAAGGAGTCAAAAGGTAATAGTATATTTGCTCATACTATTCTTTACATTGTGTTTAAGACGAAAGTAATACACAGCCACCAGAGAAGAAATTGCCCAGCCTTCAGCTTCCCACACCGAAAGAACCCAGCAGAAATTCACCCACACAGCTGGGGAAATGGCCGCATTATACTTGCAATTAAACCACAGGGGTTAATGATTCACGAATTCTCATGAGACCTGGAAAGACAGGCAAGACAGGACCAAACAGACTTGGGAGCAACAGGATCCGGACTAGCAGAATTTGTAAGAGGGAAAGTCAGAAAGCGCTGACCGTCCTCTCTAGTACCTGTGGGAGGGTCCCGGCACGCGTTGTCCAGGTGGTCAGTGACAAGCTGCAGAGAGTGCCCAACCAGGCCGGGGCTTGGAACAACAGGCTCCCCACCTGTGCCAGCCGAGTTCCGGCCGTCTTGATGAGAGGAGAAGAGAGGTATTGGCCTCTCCCCTCCTTAGAGATCTTTCCAGTTATTTGTTTATGAAAAAGCAGCAAGGGAAGCAGGCTCAGAATTTAAGACAGCTTAAGAGCGCCAGATGATTTGTTTTCACTGAACAATCATGACTGATTCACTACTTCAGGACGGCTATGAGTTGCTTAACATCCTCAGACCTTCGTGGTCTTTTTGTCTGTGCGAACATTTTGTTCAAAAGCAAAGCACCACCCCTTTTGTTGATTATTTCCTCCTAGGGGGTTTTAAAGATGCCAAGCCCAGACTCTTACAGCACTGGACCATGGGTGGGGAACAGGCAAGTTAGACAGAGGACATGGCCCTAGGTGTGGGTTTTGGGGGCACAACCCTGGGGCCAGGTAGCAGCAGAAGCAGCAGTAGTGTAGCCTGGGCTGCTTTATTTGCTTGGGTTTTCTGGGTATGTTCTACTCAATCCCTGCTCGCCTCCCCTCTCTCCACCTCTCCCAGCCTCCTCTGGCTTCTGCCTGTAGCAGCAGCAGCAGTAGGAACAGAACAACTGGAAATGGGTTACCAGAAAGTTTTAAAATGGTGATCCCCTAGGGAGCAACTCACATCCTGTTGCATAGAACACATCTTGCACATTATGTAATCCAAACCAGTAATCCAAGTGTGTCTTTATTTTATTTTTTCTTTTCCTCACTGCCATCCAATTGATGCTGACTTATAGTGACCCTATGGGACAGGGTAGAACTGCCCTTGTGAGTTTCCAAGACTACAACTGTTTACGGGAGTAGGAAGTCCCGACTTTTTCACATGGAGTGACAGGTGGTTTTGAACTGTGAACCATGAGGATTGCAGCCCAATGCATAACCACTATGCCACCAGGGCTTTTTACTTCCCCTCAAAAATTAGCTGGCTACTGCTGAGTCAATTCCCACTCCCTCTGACCCATGTGTGTTAGAGTAGTGGTGGTAGTTGTACTGGTTTTTCAGTAGTAGATTGCCAGGACTTTCTTCCAACGTACCTCTGAGCATCTAGCCTCCAACCTTTCAGTTATTTGGTGAGTTTGCACTACCCTGGGACTCCTTACTTGCCCTGAAATGGTTCGATAATCACCACTGATTATTCCTTGAAGACAGTCCAGGATTCCATCCTGTTTATTTTCTCTAGAGTTAGAAAATTCATT